GACTTGTGGAATTTAACTTAGTTTATTGACAATTAGCATAAATATTTAATTACAGAGTTGAGTATTTGGAAATTAAAAAGCTCACATAAATTCAAAGTACCATTTCTCCCAATTTTTCAGGCTTAGCTTCACTCCAGGCTCACTTTACTCCAGAGTCCTCTCCTCCTCCCATGTTGTAGCTGTGGGTCATGCTCAGTCCCTCCAGCGCAGCAGCGAGTGGCACAGGGGCTGGGGTGAGGATATAGTGGTGTCCTTTTCCTCTGGTCCTTCACTCTTCCTCCTGCGCTGCCATGGAGCAGCTCCCACTCCCCTGACCTTGCTGTTCCCTCATTCTCTCCTCTATTCCTTCATCCTCTGCCTGTCCAGCATTTCTGCCCTTGCTTAGATACACTTTCCTGGAGGTGCCACCATCTCACCTGAATGGCTCAGCAGTGCTCTGTGGTGGGTGGAACCAGCAGTGTTCAGAGAAGGGACAACAACAAAAGATTGTTATATTATTCTTAGACTTTATCTCCAAGTCAGCGATATTTAAAATACATTTAGTTTCAGTCTCACTGTGAATATGAAGGACCTAGGATGAAATCCACAGTGATTGGTATAGGCAGCAAGGAGCTTGATGTTACCATACCGCTGATCACCAGGAGCTCTGTGAGCCTGATGCTGTGCAGTCTTTCCTGTTGAGCCTGTTGAGAAGGGCAGCACACCTTACTGAGGCACGTGCCAGGCTCTGGACCAGGACTGGCTTGCATTTGGCTGAGCTGAAAGACAAGCAGTGTGAGCCTGTGACTATCTGCACCATCTCCACTAGCTCAGCAAACATTTTGACTAAGGACATATCTAACATTTTTGAACCAATATATGTGATATTCTGGTTCATGGTTTGAGTACTAAGGCTGTGTTTCCTATTGTTAAAACAGTTTGATCTGAAGAAGGCGATTTAGAAGACAAGCTGTTTAAGTAGTGCATGAGCAGAGACAATCTGTTCCACGAATAATTGGCAGCATGGGAAAGGGCATAAAGTTAAGAGTAGGTGCAAGGAACAAAGGAAATATTAAAGAAATGTGTTTTCTTTGAAATATGTCTGCTCTAAAATGCAGAGCCTTGTGGAGAGATGAGGATAGCATACTCCATGCAGGCACATTATACTGTGTCTAAAAATATGCCATTGGTCATCTAGCCAAAAAGGTAACCAGCTTGCCCAGAGTCTTGGGAATATTTGTCAGGAATTCAGGAAAGAATGGAGAAACCATCTGAGCTCACTGTGAAGCAGCAAATGTTCCAGTGCTATTTTTGGTTAAGTAGTACTGTATATTGGGGGAGTTTCTGTGAGATGAGAGGTGGCACTACAGAATCTTGGAATAAACATGTTTGAAATATGCTGTTCATGGAAATATATATGTTCCACATATTTAGCATTTAGTCTAGTCTGATAAATGACTAGCATCTTTTGATTCCATACTAAATGTCTCCTTTTCCTTTTTCAGAGGAATGTGTATCATCCTTGTGGTCTCATTTTGTGAACTTAAAAATGTCATTTGGTCCTTTTGTTGTCCACCATCAGGTCAGAAAAATTGTACCTGAGTTTATTCACCTGAAAAGGACAGGAGACATAAAATAATGCAGTACATTACCTTTGAACTATTGGACCAGAGGGCAGAGAAAAGAAAGAAAGGAAGAAGAGATTTATTTGAACTCCTGAAATTATTGGATAAGACCAAACCCACTATGCAATAGAAAATAAGGAGAAATTGGGATCACACTTATTAATAAGAAAGATGCATAAAAACTAAATTCCACTGATAATGGTGTTTTCATGAGAATACCTGTCCTCACCCCTCTTGGCACTAGAGCAGGTTGATAGTAGGTTGTTTAAATTAACATGAGCAACATGATATAAGTGATGTTGCTACTTTAGCTCTTAGCCACCTTGAGAGTAAAATCAGCACCTTCATTGAAAAATGGAAGTGACCTCTGATAGGTGGTTATATCACAGAAAACTCTTAGTTTTAGTTCTTAGATTCCTTCTTTAATGTTTTCCAGATTAACTGTGGATGAATTTAAATTGCTGTAATTAGCAGGCACTAATTTATTTATATTTGATGAATGTCTTATAAATAATCTGCTTCATCAATGTGGAGAGAACTTATTGGTAAATAAATCTGAAATGAAGGTAGAAGACATCTCTTTTAAAGATGTTTTTATTTTACTTTAGCAACTGTAAGATTAGCTACTTTTCCTGGAGAAAGGCCTCTTGTCCTATTTCTTTTTGAACACCTGTAGAAAATTCTGTATTTATGTAAAAAAATGGGTTCAGAGGATGTGTTAGCATGGCAGAAGTTGCTGAGCTATTTGTCAGTGTTTGGGTCCAGACCGAAAATACTATTTAAAAGAGAGATTTGTATGAACCTATTCAGACTTCTCAACCTTTAGTGTTATATAGATATATAGTGATTTATTTATTTATTTATTTTAATAATGACTTCCTGTAACACTGCAGTGGCTTACATTTTTGTAATGTGTCATTATTACAATGTGCATATTCTATGAGTAATTACATTGCCTTAGCATTTTTTTTATCTGTAGCAGTTAGACTCTACTGTGAATGTCCTCTGAATGCATGTCTAACTGCAGAAAGACCCCTCTTTTCACTTGTGTCCTGCATTTCATGTGTTATTGTCCATGAAGTAAGTCTTCTTCTGAGTCCTGCTTTTTTGCTCTTTTCAGTACCTCCAAAAATGGTGTGCCTCATTCAACATTACTTTCTAACTTCAATTTTACCAGTAAAAGATAAAAAAAAAAAAAGAAAGACCCTCAGCTGCTCTGCTTTTGTGTGAGAGGTGCACAATAACTGTGAGTCAGGCCTTTTTACAGATCCTCTCATTAACATCATTACCATTTTTACTTAAAAAACCCAACAACCTTTGGCTGAATTTATCACTCATGAACAAGGGGATGTCCTGAACATTTGGTATTGATTTGCAGGCCATTCTTTCTGTTGCTGTTTCTCTCATGAGGAAAGACAATCCTGACACACACTGAAATGCATGTTAATGTTACTGTCTTGAGGATGGAGGAAGGATTATTATGCATAACTTTGCTTTCCTAGTAGTGCTAGGCAGCTACAAAATACTTTTTGTCCAAGGATTCCCAAGTCACACTTGCCTCCTAACTTCCACTGTAGCAAAGTGTCTGGCAATTAATTTTTATATATTAAGAGACTGAAGCATTTAGGAGAAGTAGATAAGTCACCTTGGCCAAAGTAATAAATAAACAACAATTTGCTTAAATTTTCATCCACAATGACAAAAAGCAAGGGTGCCAGCCTAAGGTACCATGTAACATTTGTGTGATCAGCTGTTTTCCCTTCACCACACACAGAATAAGTCTGAAATCCTGCCATTGTGAATGTGTGTCCATACTTCTTAAAGAAGCTAAATCATCTGCTAGTATTTTAAGAAATTGCTCAGAACGATTCTTCAGAAAAAGAAGAAATTAGGAGTTAAGTCAGGTTTTATATTCTTGTGTTGTTTTTCCCCTTGGTATTTCAGTAGCTGTTTTTTCCATGCCTTGTATTTGCTTATTCTTATTTATGGCATTATATTACAAATCCTGTTTAGCTATTTTTGTTCATCCAGACACAGAAAACAATGCACAGACACAAAAATTAAAAAAAAAAAAAATTAAATATATGGATCATCTTAAACAGTTTCAGAACTAAAAGTATCTACAAGACATGACATATTGATGCTGCTACCTGGTTTTAAATGCATTCCAGATCAGACAAGTGCCTAATGATGGTCTGACACTGCACCTCTAAAAGAAATGCTCCTGTTTTAGTGAAAGCACAGTCCAAGCTGGTTACATATTAACCAGTTCAGGCAATATCCCTTCTGTATATTGGAAAGATAACTTCCGAGATCTTATTTCCTGTCTAGGCGATGCCCTAATCTGAAATGAGATCTCATTTCTGAGTTAAGGGAGATGCTTGGTTTGGAAAACTAATTTGGATGTATGTGACTTACAGTGAACTCCACATTTCTTTTCCAAGATAAATAGAGAATTTTCACTGCCACTGTAATTAATCCACACTAAGATTTCAAGTAATTTCCAGGTTTCTCGTGAAACTTTATTGAATGTTGAGTTTATTTATAGCAGAGAAAATCTGAAATAAATCTGCCAGAGTCAATTCTATTAATCCAGGCTTTCATCAATATTAGTGGCAACGAAATCTAAGTTTATATTAAATACACTGAGAGGTTATATTATTTAGGAGTGTAAAATATTGCAATTAAACTGCTTAAATTTTTATTCAGTTTATAGCAGCCAGTAACACCCATATTCTTTGTTCAAGAGCTTTCCAGTGTGGATTTACATAGGTAATTTTATCTCAGGCTCTTTGGTATTTGACAGAAATCCTTTATTTCTGGAGTAAACCAATAATACAGCTTTCTATTTTTGAAAAGGAGATTTAATCTTCATATTTGTGAATGAAAGCTGGAAATCTTGAGTCTAGAAAACCCAAACCACGAATTATTTCTACATAAAATCTCAGCCTTTTAGAGGGGGAAAAAAGGATTTATTTTCATTTTAATCTTGGTCTTGCTTGTTGAATGGTTGGAGCTGACAAGGCCGTGGGGGTGTACACATACATGTATGGAGGTGGGAATGTGCACTTTTTTTTAAACACTGAACCTGAACTTTAATGTACTGGAACCTCTGAAGCTCAGAAATGCTTTTCCAGGTGGTGTTTCTGGTAGATTAGTCACTGCCTAGTGCATGGAAAATGAGAATCATGATATTCTGGGTCCAGACATAGAGGTTCAGTATTACCTGGGCAGGATTCTGACTAACAGGGAGGGAGGGTTGTATTCCACCTAACAAGCTCACAAAAGACAGCAAGAGACCTACCAGGTGACACCAGCATGACTAGTCTGCCATTCACAAGCTATAGAGACCTAAAATCCACTCAAAATTATTGTTCTGTTATTTCCTTTTTCTAGAAAAAGCAAGTGAGTCAAACAAAGATCCGGGTGATTTCTACTATCCTCTTCATCCTGGCAGGCTGCATTGTCTTTGTGACGATTCCTGCATTCATCTTCAAACACATCGAGGGATGGACAGCGCTGGAGTCCATCTACTTTGTGGTTGTTACTCTGACTACCATTGGCTTCGGTGACTTTGTAGCAGGTGAGCAGCTTCAAGCTGGGCAGGAGGGCCTTGGCTCTTAGAATTCGTTTTCTGGTGTAGAGAGGAGGCTTTTCACAATGTGTTTTATTCCAGTGAAATGATGCCAGGTGTTTCTGTTGGGGTTACTGTGCAGTAGGACACCAGGTTGATTTAAGATCCAGGTGCCTTACCAGGTTACAAGCCTTCAGCAGTGTAGATAACAGGAGCCTGGAAAGTCCTAATTTTCCTTTATCTTGCAATGAATTATGCACAAGTCAAATTACTTTCCCGCTGAGTTCAAGATTTGTATTAGTCCATTAGGACTCAATCTGAGGCTGACTGCAGAATCAAGTAGCCCAAATGATGAATGGAGGAAGGTTTTGCAAAGTAGGGCTGAGCCACAGGGCTGTAGAAATCCCTAGTCTCAGTGGTGGGCTGCTACTACAGGAGCTGCAGCATTTCAAACACTGCATTTTGTTCTCTAACCTTGGCAGAAATTATTAAGGAAAGCTAATGTGGAAGAGAAGGACTAATGGGGTATGCATCTTAGTGCTTGGAGGATACTCTCCAAGATTAATACAGTACCAGCAGGAACTATAAATATCCACCCTCATCGATTTCCAAAGAGGGAGTCAAGATAGTTGGCTGGAGAGACGAGAAATATTTTCTTTTCACACAATTGCTTTGCTAACGAAAAGGTAATTAAAATAAGTGGATTTTTTTTCCCATCAGTGCATGACCTCTACTCCTCATTCCTCTTAGCAGTCCTAATTAAAGGCATTAAGATACTTATGTTACAGTCATAATATGCTGTTATCTTACTTTCTATAAATCAACAAAGCATGAATGAGTTAAAAACATCAAATAAACCTACAGGGATATATAAAGTTCTCTTTGCTGAAGAACTGCAGACAAATCTGTTTGTAGAGAAGACTAATCCTTTTTTTATGACATAGTGGTATAGAAGACATGAATTATTGAGGAAAAGGTACAGAACAAAGAAAGACCCAGATATGAAGAAAAAAAATGTTTAGTGAGCATTCAGTTACAGAAGTGATTGTATGAGCTTGGTTCATTGCAACCACTTAAATGGATAGAGAAGCTCACTGATATTCTGTCTGTGGTATCGTGGTGTGAAATAAAAATAATTTACCATATTTTTCTTAATCATATCACACTTCGTATTGTTTTCTTTAATAATATAATAGTAAAAAAGTTCTGAATGTTAAATTGTTCTATATGCAATATGATTTGGAGAATATAATCCACAGCTGGGTGTCTACTAACAAGCACGATTTTTCAAAAATCAAATGGAAGGCCCTGAATAAGAAAACTTCAGAGGCGATTTCATGATAAGAGTTTAAGGCAGGTGATCAACAGGAGATTTGCGTTTTATTGCTGACTTTGAGAGAGATTTTCTGTCCCTTTTATTTTCTGTCACTTTAATCTCTCACTATCTCTGTCCCTCTGACATCAAATCAAAAATACTACATTGTAATGGGTAAAACAGCATCAATAGAGCTATGCCGGTTTCCCAGCTCTTGCCAAACCATTAAGTTTTTGTACTACTGTCAGAAATACAATTGTAGATGAAGCCTGAAAAAACAGAATGTCTGATAGGCTGAAAAAAGTGGTCTCATGCTTTGCCAGTCACCTGATTACTCTGTAAGATAGACCTAGACAATCTGTTTCCTAGTAAGCTTCCTCAGGGACACATATGATCAGAAGAGCCTTGTACCATGGCAACAGCAGTTACCACCTCCTATTGTTTCACACTCTTAAAGGCTGGAAAAAAGAGTGTGATTCATTCAGTATATGGGAAGAGATTAACATCAAACCCAATATTTGGGTCCCTTTTGATTGTCAAATGTTTGACCTTCCATGGGAATGTTCAAGCACCATACCTACACTCATATTGAGTTTTGATAAAATTAAAGTAGTAGCAATGTCTCAGACTGCAAAAAGGAAACTATGTTGTGTGGTGATTTTAACAGGTGAAAATCCTAAAATCTCTCTACGGTCATACAGAGGTATCAGTAGCTGTCTAGCTCTTGCCTAACCAGGTCTAGAGTCCAGGAAATATGCAATCCTCTGCCTGAATCTCCTGGAAACCTTGCTATTCAGGCAGAGATTTACACAAATACCACCAAGGTGGTGTTTGTTCACCTGCAATGAAGGATACAGTGATGCCCATGGGGCTCTGCAGACTCTTTGCTGCTCACTCTGTTCTACTCAGGGCTGTGCCTGCTATCACTGGCCCTCCTTCTTGCAGTGCACACAGCACTGTGATAGGACTGAGAGTCTCAAAAGTGAGGCTGTGGTTGTTGTCTTTTGGAAAAGTTTATTTTATTCTGTAGTAGGCAGCAGCCTGGCTGCTACTGCACTTATTTTAGGTTCTTTGTAGTCCATTAGATTTGCCAGATGTCTCATTCTTGTTTAACCAGCTCATCCCGAGACTTTCATGAAGAACATACAGGATATTTGTTGCTTGCTTTGATCCATATCTCCTCTCAAGTCACTGGCCAGAGAATGTACCCCTCTAAATGATACCCAAGCAGACTGTATACTGTATCTCCTTATTATCAGGGCTGATACATGGTTGGCTTCCAGTCAGATATCCTGATTTGGAAGGGTGGACAAAAGGGAAGACAAAGCTACATATCTTTCTTCTGCACATAGGTCTCTCAATCCTGTAGCTAAAACCAAAAAGTCTGGAAATTCTATAACCTAAAGGGGTTGATCTGTAAAGTTTCTCAACTACCAGGCTGCAGGCACTTCAGTATAAGGAAGACCAGCTGTATTTAACCTCTTTCTTGGACATGTGTTTGTGCTGTTGCAAGTACTATTAAAGTGGGAATTTCAGACTTACTTCAGAGTATGATTGATATAAAGCAAAATATTTACTAGATGCTCTGGCAGGTCACACAGAAGCAGAAAAGTAGGTAATTTTGAAGAGTTTTAAATTAAGAACAGACTGTGTTCTTCCCATCTGACAGGCTTCTTGTCTATTATCAGAACTACAGTGATGTTGTCAAGAGTTAAATACTTTCAGACATTTCTCAGAATTGCAGATATTTTGTCATAATTTTGGCATCTTACAATTCCTAAGCATAAGTATATGCTTATTTCAGGAGGAAATGCTGACATACATTACCGAGAGTGGTATAAACCCTTAGTGTGGTTCTGGATCCTTGTTGGCCTTGCCTACTTTGCTGCTGTCCTGAGTATGATTGGAGACTGGTTAAGAGTCCTGTCCAAGAAGACACAAGAAGAGGTAATGATTAGTAATTTCTCAGAATGTATTTTGAAAACTCTTCCTGATGACTTGAGAGAGTGGTATTTGGACAGCTGTGCAATGGAAACCTCCATTAAAACTCTAGACTGCCTCAGTCAGAGGGCCACTTGAAATTATTTAATGGGCATTTCCAATGTTAACTGCTTTGTGACTCCGTGGCCCTGAACAGGACCTTTGGTGGGACTGAACAGCTCCATCCATAATCAATATGGGAAGATACATTACTGTACTGCTGCACTAGTTACTCTGAAGCATATTGGTTTAATTATATGTGATAAATTTTGCCCACTCTTGACCATCTACTGCTGACGTTACGAATCAGGAATTTTGTTTTTTATCAAGGAGGGATTAGCATGAACACCTTTCATTGTGTAACACAGCTATAAAATGTGTGGGATGGCAAAATGTGACACAGGCAGACAAGTTATATGCCACATAAGCCATCAGCTAGTCACTAATTGATGTGTTTAGAATGGATGCAGTGGAGATGGTGAGTTTAGAGATGGATGCAGTGGAGATGGGACCACTCTCTGATTTTTGTGCCAAAGAAGAAAGTGTTTATGCTGCTGTTCTAAAGGAAAGACTGTAGCTTCATTTTGCTTTTTTTTTTTTTTTAATAAATAATTTCTCTTTCTTCTTGTTGTAAAGGTTGGAGAAATAAAAGCCCACGCAGCGGAGTGGAAAGCAAATGTGACAGCTGAGTTCAGAGAGACACGGAGGAGGCTCAGTGTGGAGATCCACGACAAACTTCAGCGGGCAGCCACCATCCGGAGCATGGAGCGCAGGCGTCTGGGCCTGGACCAGCGAGCCCACTCCTTGGACATGCTCTCTCCAGAGAAGCGCTCTGTCTTTGCTACCTTGGAAACAGGGCGCTTCAAGGCCTCCTCTCAGGAAAGCATCAACAACAGGCCTAACAACCTGCGCCTTAAAGGGCCAGATCAGCTTAACAAGCATGGGCAGGGGGCATCGGAGGACAACATCATTAACAAGTTTGGATCATCTGCTAAGATGACCAAAAGGAAAAACAAAGACCTCAAAAAGACCATCCCTGAGGATGTGCGTAAAATTTATGAGACCTTCAGAAACTGTTCTTTGGATGAAGAGAAAAAGGAAGAGGAGACAGAGAAGATGTGTAATTCTGAGATCTCTTCTAGCACTGCAGTCCTGACCAACTGTATCCAGCAGCACTCAGACGTGGAAAATGGAGTGATTCCCAACGAAACCAAAGAAAGGGAACATGAAAACAAAGCGTTACTTGAAGACAAAAATTAAATATAAAAGATGCTTGACTTGAATTAACAATGTTAGTGGTTTTATATATATATATATATTGAGACACGTGCCTTATACAGACTCCTTATTCAATCTGAATTATATAGCATCGAGGAATATTTCACTGTGCCATAAAGACTCAAGCTTGCTCTGCCAAAACAAACCAGGAACACAGCACTGCAGAATGGCAACAGAAAGCTACGCACATGGAAATTTCAGCATGTGTAAGATTACCAGGGCAAGACACAAGGGAAGGAATTGAACCATGGCAATATCACCAGAGTGCTCCTACCATGGCATATTAGACAAAGGGCAGCTATGTAAGAAGAGCCTGTGAAAGGGATGAAAAAGAGTGTATCTTTGTAGGGGATTATGCATCCATAAAGCCTTCCCCTGGTGATTAAAAAGAGGAGAAATGATTGGAGTGAATGGAAAACTTTCAGTAAGGCTTAGTTTACGTTTTGGCACGTGATCCAAGCTAGTTTTTTTGTTTCTTTTTTTTTCTTTTTGAGTCAGATGCATTACCTTTCTAAACTCCAAAAGAATGTCTATGGACACAACTACCAGATGAGTGCTGGTTTGAAAAATCAACACAGATGTATGTAAGGGTTGGATTACTCTTTTCATTAAAAAAAAAAAAAAAAAAAAAAGAAGAAAAAACTCCGTGGGTATTTATCTTAAGCAGAAACAAAAAACAAATAAAGAAAAACATGGATTTTTCTCACAAGAAAGTGCATATGAAGAAAATGCAACATCTCATGCTATGTTGTTTAAAAGAAGAGAAACATCAATTTAATATTTGGCTAAGTGTATAAAACAGTGGGCCAAGTGGTTTTTAAAAGAATTTCTCAGTCACACTTTCTACCACTGAAAAAAACCCTTCAATTTTAATGCTGTAAGACTATGAAGACAGAAGGGAAACTACGACTTTTGCGTGTTGGTAAACTGCTGTTCTCTGTAGATGAATCTGAATTTAGGACTTAAGAGAATATACACTATTCAAATGAGGGCCAAGGCTACCATAGAATCTCAGGGCTCTCTGCCCCTTTTGCTGGGTTTGGGTTTAGATGTAAGCTGCTGTCATAATGTCAGAAAAAAAAAAAAAGAAAAAGAAAAAGGAAATTTAGGAAAAGAAGTTAAGAAATATATGGTGGTCAACTTTTAAGTGCTTATAGCTTTAAGTGCCATTAATGCTATCATATTTTGTAACTCTTTAAACAAGTATTTTGAATTATTTGTTTTATTTCCTTTCAGATACTATCTTTATTTGACATTTGCTATCTCTTTTCCTGATAAAAACTAAAAATGAGTTCACTGCATTTCTAGACTAAAGTGAAATGTATCCAAACTGTGGTCATTTTTTAAAAATCTTTTGTGCTTTCTGGACATATGGATATAAAAAATAGAATTGTCTCTAGACTTCACAGTAAATATTCAAAGAAAAGGCTGCAAAATAATTAATGGGAATTGCAGAGCATACTAAATTTTTTATAGCCTCAGCCTGTGGGCTGCTGCGTGTGCCATTTCAGAGAGAAGATTTTGCATGCTGGAAATGAGATACACATGATTGTGCCAGCAATGCTTTCTCTGTGCTTTCACAAAATCCTAAATATTCCTGCAATTCAAACTGTAGGCTTATAGGTAAGGTAAGCATGGATATTGATCTCATAGACATACTGACTCTTGCAAGCTAGTCAAACATACAGACACTTGCAGGTCATACAGACACAGATTTTTGGAATTGCATGCCCCCAAAATGCACGTGTCATTCTATGATAGTTTCTGAGATTTTATGCACACTGAGCCAACTCAAAATCAGACTGGTCACCAGAATACATGATTGCCATGGCTATGAATGGAAGCATGGCTATGCAAACTAAAATTTTGATTATGCATATTTGCATATCTAATGACTCTGCAGGATTTGTAGGAATAAGCCAAATTCCACTAGTGCAGAGGAGGAAAGTTCATAGTATGTTCTGCTGGTTCACTTCTCTTGACATGTCAAATCATCTTTCTAATTTCATTATCTGTCTGAAAATTAAGGATGAAAAAGCAATGTTTGAAAAATTTCAGGTCATTTGGGATTGCTCTAACTCAGTAAGATCCAACAGAAATTGAATTCTGCTTACTTCACCAATGAATCACTTAAGGTGCAGGGCTGCACCCTGGCTTTATCTTACCAGAGACAGAGCAGTAAGCCCAGTCCCCAGGGGAGGTTTCATCTGACTCAAGAGCTGCCATGGCTTCTGGAGACTTTTATGCCAGGCAGCCCTGTGCTCAGCGTCACAAACATGCAGATGGCAATCTGTGGCCATCCTCAGATCCCATCCTCCTCAAGCCACAGACAGACACCATCAAGATGAAGGTCTCTTCAAGCATCAGAGTTCTTCAGCCTTCCTATTGCTCCTGGTTTTGGGCAGGCCTTGAGTGTCACATATGAGTAAATGTTCTGAAGTCTCATGCAGAAGCACAGAGCATCATCTGCTAATTCTGTAGTGCCAGGATGAATAAAGCATACGTGGATGCACTAAGGTTTTATGTTCAGATCTGGGGTTTTACTGTGGCGGTGGGAGATTAGGATTGAAAGCTATAATTTATATTTGCCTTTTAATTCCTGAAAAGATTCATAAGTGCTCAAACATGTGATTTGGTTCCTGAGAATTAAAGTACTGCCTGGTTACCCGATCCTTTGCTTTGCATCTGTGAAGGATCAGGCACCCAAAAACATCCTGTATGACTCTGAAAGCATGCAATACATTCAGTTTGTGCTAACAGTTCTCTTTGGTTACCAAAGGCCAAGACCAACATCATGCATGCAGTGTTACCTGTTCCTTCAGCCGAGTTCTTCTCACAAGAAAAGCTTGCCAGCAATGGAAAAGTTCTGCATAGTCACATTTCTGTATATGAAATATAGGACTTAGCCATAAACAGAGCATTTCTGCTGATCAGGGAGAGTAAAGTCTGTCTTGTAGGACTTGTCTGTGTGAACAGGGAGTTGGACAGTGGGCAAATCATGGAAAACAAGTCAACATGGACAAGTGATTGAGGAGGCAAATTTTGGTGGACAAATTCAGAACTGTTAGTTCTGGTGAAATAGAAGGTCAGTGGAATCTTGTCATAGTTTTAATCTCAATTTGCTGAGTTCTCAGTCTGTTCCCTGTCCAGATTCTAGCTGATGGTGTGTGTGTGTGTGTCTCATTCTAGTTTCTGCTTGCCATGCCATGCAGGAGCCCCTGGCTGACATTTTATCAACTATTTCTTCAGCATCTCCTGGTTTGGGATATAATAGTTCAGGGACAAAGGGTGATACTGAATAAACTCTCAGTGAGATACTGAGCAGAGCATTTGATGACCTTTTGTGTGAATGCAAAATGCTCTCTTTCATTCCTCTACATTTCTGTGTCTGTGAACCTTGCTGAGAAAGCTGCCAGGCTGCTACTGGAGTGAATACTTTCTTCTATAGTATGATTGCCTATTAAATACCTCAATATGCATAATTTTTACTATAATATGGGAAGTGAAAATGGTGTATTGCATGGGAGGCCAGACAGAAGTGTCCGACACCTAAAATGACATTTAAATGAGCTAAATTGCTTTTCCCCTTGTAAAGGACATCCCTTGGTTTTAATTATATGCAACAGTTTGGGAGAGAATCTCAGATCAGACATCAACAATATTATGGGTAAAATTCTCATCCTCTGGCAATGAGTAATACCTCTAAAAAAGTCATTATGTTATTTCTAGTGAGGTTGTTCCACCATTATAGAAAGTTTTAGCAAAAGTAGTCTGAACCATATCTAAAACTCCTCGCTCTAAATTAGGGCTTTTCACAGCAGCCTGAAAATAAGAAGTCAAACAAAAGCATGGGTTACTGACTTTAGCACTCAGATCATGCCCTGAGCACAACATAACTTGACATGGGAACTGGGACCTGAAAGAACAAAGGAAATGTGTTTTTCTGTAGCCACAGCCCTCACACATAGAGGACAACTCAGCTTCTGTTTTCCTGCAGCTTTCAGCTCTGCAGTCCCACTGTCCACTGTCTTGTGCAGGAGAATTCTGCTAAGCCACTTTGGTGATCCTTCTGAACCATTAACCATCACTGAACTTGTGCAGATATTGCATGAGTGATTTTGAAAAGATGTGTAACTTCATCCATGTGGCAGTCTGTGAATTATATTACCCTTTAATAGGGAACATTATTTCTAATAAATCTTATTAGAAGTAATAGTAAATAAAATTAAAAAAACTCCAGTGATTTATATTCATAAAATCTGATTTTGGTTGTTGCTTTGAAATTATAAATCATCTGAGCTTCTGCTGTTTGGCTTTGTGATGTCTCTAGTACAAGTCTGCTTCTTCCAAAGCCATTAATGGATTATACCAGAGACTTTCTGCAAGATTCTCTAACTCATAATAAATGAAAGTGTATGTTTGTGAGTTCAGGCTGTTAAAAACCCTGTCCTTAAAAAAACCTGCATTTTCCTGAAGAATTTGTGTTTATGCTGTACATGGGCTGTTCGTTTGCCAGCTTTCATTTTCTCAGGGGTTTGTTTGTGTTGTCAGGTTGCATGATGTCTGCTACTCTTACTTTTTCCATCGTCCATTAGAAATACATTACAGGCAAAGACCAAGTGTTATGCTGTGTACTAACCTAGAACAAGAGTTCTTCTACTTAATGGATATGAATTAAAACTAACTGGGAACTGCTTCAGTCCTCCCTGTACGTTTACTTGTTGTGAACTATGTTTTGTGTAAGGCCAAAATCTGCTCCCATCAAGTCTGTGCAGTAAAGTGGAGGTAGCTTGTTACTTTTAAGCTTTTTATAGCAAAGACCTGCTGTTTTAACTCATCTCTACAGTGCCATTTATACTTACTGGAATGGCATTATATCAATACTAAATACAAATTAGCTCAGCTTCAGAAACAGTTCCCTAGGCATTTAAATATCAATGAAAACACAAGGTAAATCAAACAAATCTGTGGAACTCAAGTAAAGGCTTGTAGATTAATGTATGAAACTGGTTGCCTGAAATATATCAGCAAAAAGGTGTAGATCTGAAAATCCCTTTTGGTTACCAAAGCTTTCCCCAAGGTCCCCATCTCCTTTGCTACCAGTAGCAGTTACTGTCCTTAATACCATTGCTGCAGTTGTGAGAGCTAATTTGGGGTGTCCTGATGTAGTCAGCCCATGTTCTGTGAGCTGAATCATGGTGGGTTGGAAAGGGCACTCTAAAGGCAGGACTTATCCACAACACTGCTTTGTTCAGGAACCAGCTGAAGAAAGGTCTCCATGCAAACATGGCACCTGCCCAATGTTCACATGGCACAGGTAACTGGTTCCTGCACACAGATTTACTGGTGATGCCTCTCTGCTCTGTTCAGGTAGATGTGAACTTGTGCTCCCTCATCTCTGATTACAGGTCACATTGAAGCTAAGTCTTATCACCAGGAAATACCAGTGCTGATGCTTTTGGAGGAAAGTGGACATTTCTGTAGCATGTGGCCTTTTGAGGCAAATAGGATCTGCTTTCTATGGCTGATCTTGAGAGCAAACCACAGGCAGGTGATACTTGGCATGTGAGAGAGAATACTTTTGCCTCCCAAATATATTCTACCCTCATAGTCTTTTTTTCCTGTGAGAGCTGCGTGCTTAAAGAGTAAAGCTGATGGTGTCTACTGTGAGGTGAAAGCCAAATGGTAGCTTTCAGCCTACCATTTAGCAGTCTCTCAGATCCTGGAGTCATGTATTAGCTATAATTAGAAAAAGGCAGGGTTTGTGTCTAGATCACAGCTTCCCAACAATTTAATTTTTTCAGGACAGTGTTCCAATGTAGTTTTAGACTGATTTTTTTCCAATTTCTAATAGAATTTGATTTGGACCTTGGACAGGACTGAGAAACCATTATTAGTAATTTTCAACTTTTTATTTGAATAAGAACTTTCTCAAAATTTGGGGAAACATTGTGTTGGGATGCTGTTCTACTTTTTCCTGATCAAATTATACTGTAAGCAATCGGCAAATCCAATTGCAAGGATGTTCTATCTGTTTTCTTGTCTCTGTCCCTCTTTCACTCTCTCCATAAGATTTAATGGTGCTTTTGAAAGGTATTCTCAGAAAAAGAACAATTTCCTAAATGTCATTACCAGGGTACAGAGCAGAATGTGCTTGTACTATCTTGAAAAGTTTTGCTGCTACTGTCTTTATTTTACGATGTAATGTTTTACAAAGATTGAAAAAAAAAATTGCAACAAAGACTGTCTGGATGAACTCTCTTTACCTGTTGTTGGTTTTTTTTTTTTTTTTCTGTCTGCCTCTTGTCCTATCATCCAGAAGGGATAAAGGAGCCATAATTAATCTTTCCCTTTTCTCCTTGGTTGACAATCCAGTCTGCCTTATTTTCTGGGTGCCTGATTTCGGAAACCATGGTGCTGGGCTGGTTTCAAGAGAGGCATAAACTTCCATCCTTACCTCTACTCATACTGAGACATTTCTGCATTTAATGACCAGTCAGTAGGGAAGCAAGAAACAGAATTTCAAGGAGGCTCTGTCTCTTGTTCCTAGTTCCTTTCCATAGAAATTATTTGCCAGGATGACTGGAAGAAGTTACTCATGCAGAGAGGAGAGAGGAGGTGAAGCTTTTTGACCTTGAAAAGCACAGACAAGCTTGGGAGTCTCTTTTAATGTGAAATCTTTTGTCTTTTTGCAGCTTTTTTTCATGTCTTCATGTTGACTACTTTCTATGTGAGGCCTCAGTTTTCCTTGGTTCCTTATTTTTCCATCACCTTGGGAAACTGCAACACAGGCCAGTGCACTCACAGAGGGTGCAAACTTTTGAACTATGATTCATTTGTCAACAGATGGGGGGTGATAAAAATTCCAGCAAGCATGGTTCATATTTCTGTATAGCATGTATAGAGTCCCCTCAAAACTGAGCCTTCACTTGACTTTGGGAAAAAAAGAAAAAACAAGATAAAAGCTTTCTTTGGACTGAGTAAAAATACTCCCCTGTTTTTGTGCTATTTTTCTATGTTCCTTATGCTACATGGTCCATACTGGTTCTTGCTACTTGTTCTGTATTAACTGTGCAAGTCAAGACATATTTATCCAAAGCCCACCTCCATTTCCAAAATTATTTCTTTTCCCTCAGGAGCACGAGCCTTTTAATTGGACCTTCTTTAAGTATTCTGTATTCCTCTTGGTTTTTTGGTTATTTACATTTTTGGGTTTATGCACATCCTCATTCTGCTTGTTCTCTTGATTTTCATTTCCAGGTCCAGATTTTTATCAAGCTACAGCTGTTTGCTCTGACTTTGTGACCTATTGTCTGGGATATACAGACAGCTTCTTAGTTTCTAGAGTCCTCCAGCAAGGTGACCTATTTAGCTAACTGGCCCAAGTCATTGTTCTGAGAGGTGACTGAGAAAGACAACGAAAATAAGAAAAAAACCTGACAAAACAACAAAACTCAAAAGGGTGGATGTGTGACAAGTTGTGAAATACTTTTTGTGCTCCAAAATCTGTATGCAGGATGCTGAGGGTTGGACCAAAATTCTTGCTGAAGCGTCATTTTCTCAGTACAGACTGCCGTTTTGAATAGCTATTTTTGAAACAAATTGTTACATGGTAAAAAAAAAAAAAAAGATGCTTTAAAAATAATAAATTATTATATAATAATAACCTAACATACTAAATGTGAATAGTGCAGGAAGGAGTATCTCACAGAGATTTTACAACACATCGTTTGGCCTGGCAGGTCTCACTGCTTTCTAAAGCTTTAGATCATTTCCACAGGGGACACAGGAGACTTTCCCCAGTATAGGAGGCTGTCTCTGGATCATCCCTTCCTTTTATTCTGGCACAAGGTGCTGATGTTTCTCTTGATGAACATCTTTTGGCAGTGCCATTTCTGAGGCAGTGCAGTGTAAATGTCGTTACTGAACCCAATTTGAACAGGATGGATGGACACCACAGGTTTGACTTGAAGCAGTTAGCTAAATGCACCTGTGCCACTATTTCCTTCTAGTATTATTATAAGACTAAGAAGAATAAAGCAGTACATTAATCTTGTATTACATTCCAGAGAATGTTGTGACTGTGAATCTTGGTTGTGCACATGAGGAACTTGTTTATGTTATCCACTCCATTACACTAAACCATAATGTGACAAATAAGTTGATTAGTAGGGTCCAAAACTGCAGTTCTCTCACATTTATAACCATGAGAATAACTTTAAAAAAGAAGAGTATAAAATAAGCAACATAGTCCTTATTTTTAGCAGAAATCTGAATATTTCTTGAAGTGAAAAATTGATTTTCATGTGCAACCAAAAGTCAAAGCAAAATATGGCTATTGTAATTCCGGGGGGGTGACACACCAAAAAACCACCACAACAAAACAAAACACCCCCTCCAACAATCAACCAAGGAACAACAACAAACCCAGACCAAAATCTTTTCCCTATGCCGCTGTCTCACTGAACATATCTGGTCTTCTGTGCATTTCATGCTTTTGCAGGTGCCATCAATGAAAATTAAGACATGTAGAATGCATTTTGCTCTCATTAACCTTTCAGAGATAATCCAGCAAGGATAGAGTAACCTGGCTGTTAATTCCTTGTATGTACTATGCATAGATCTAACAGTTGCAAGTTAATTGCTTCCCCTTTCATGAATATCTGGGCAGAAGAAGAGACACAAAATTCTACAAATGACAGAGTTTGGCCTGCAAATCTCTTCCTACAGGGGTTTGTGGGAAAGAAATACCCATTATGTTCCAGAGCACAAGCTGGGAATTCAGTGATTGAAAAAGAAACAAAACAGCACATAAACTGATGCTGTTTTGCAAAGAGTCATTAAAGACAGGAACCTCATATTTATGATGATGTATTACAGACCTGGGAATGACTTTTAAGATGTTGCAGCAGGAAAAACATGAGCCATTGCAATCTACTGAAGTGCACTGAGAGGCTGGGGTCGGTGTGATACTCCTCCCCAGTGTGCAGCAGGCTTTTGAGGGATTAAGCACAAACAAATCACAGAATATGTCAAGTTGGAAGGGACTCACAAGGATCATCATGTCCAGTTCCTGACCTGCACAGGACTACTCCCAAGAGTCACACCATGTGCCTGAGAGTATCATCCAAAGGCTTCTTCAACTCTGGCAGGCTTGGTGCTCTGACCACTTTCCAGGGTAGCCTGTTCCAGCACCCAACCACCCTGTGGGGGAAGAACCTTTTTCTTGTATACCTAAACCTCCCCTAACACAACTTCAGACCATTCCCTTGGGTCCTGTTACTGGTCACTACAGACAAGAGATCAGTGCCTGCCCTCCTCTTCTCCTCACAAGGAAGTTGCAAGTGCAGTGAGGTATCCCCTCAGTCTCCTCCAGGCTGAACAAACCAGCTGCTCCTCATACGGCTTCCCCTCAAGGCCCTTCACCATCTTTGTTGGCCTCCTTTGGATGCTCTCGAAGAGCTTAATACCTTATGATCACTGTGTGTTCCATAACAAAGGATACGTGCATTATCTGAGTAACAACAAGATTTCAGGTGTGCCTTAGGTGCAGAAAGATACAAGCTGTGCTGTCAGATTTGCACAGAAAGGTTTAACCCTCCAATGAGAGGGTCTTAAAGACAACATCCTACTCAAGTGTTTAGCTCAGACTCTTTCCTAGAGTCCATCTTGTGGGGAATGCATGTTGTGCTGTGAAGCCAATTATGTTATTTCCATTTCTCATTCTGATGGAGTTCAGTTTGACAAACTAAATGTACTTTGCCAAGTTAAAAAAGCAAACCACAAAATAGCAATAAATAGCATCTTACAGGCTGCAGTTGTAACTTTTTTTCCTTTGGATTCCTTCTGCACAGCCTGCTGAGAATGATTTATAACAAACAGCAAGATTGCTGATTTGAAGAAATGTATATGACTGGATTTCTCAAGGGAAGGAAAAGAGGAGGAATCCCAATCCCCCTGAAATCTAGGCTTGTCTTAAAACAAACTAGGAAATAAAAATTTTACTGCCTCACCCTGCAAATATGAATTCCTTTTTAGAAGGATGTTATTTTATCTTTCGTAGCTTAACAAGAGCTTTAAATAAATAGTTTAATTTCTGCTTTTGATTGCTTAAGTTTCCTGCCTTGCTAAGCCTGCTCTAATCTCTGCAAACAGGTGGCTTCCTCTCTGTAGACTGGACCTCCCTCCCTCAGACTGAGCACTGATAAACTAGCCATGCCCATTTACAATCCTGCATGAAGCAATCCGATCTCATTAGTTCTTACTTGGCAGTTCCCAAACAAGCCAATTTAATGCAACAGCAAAAGAGGTTCAGGCTGTGCTCGGCAATTTCTCTTGCCCATCATCACTAACACATTTCTTCCAGGGTTTCCAATTCCTGCTTGTCTGCTCCTCATTAACACCCCCAGCAAGGGGCCCACCTAAGTTTAATCTAAGCTGTCTGCAAGTAGTTCTTTATGTATGTTTTTTCATGTGTGAGGTCAAGATGTAAAGGCCAAGAAAGCTGAGGTACTTTCTATAAATATGACAGTGAGCATCATATTTGTGGTCCCAAGGCTGTTTATTTTAGGCAATGACCATCTTGTCTGCTGTATTGTGGATCTCTACCTGTTACTAAAGTGTAGTAAATTCCCATTTGACATTTGGATGATGGGGAAATGAGTACGCTGGTGATGCTATCAGGTGCTGAAAAAAGTTTCAAAACCAAAAAGTGTTACATGTCAAAAATTGCAGCTCAATAAGAGGAAATAATTCCATCTGTTCCCCTCTGTATTTGCTGGTATTGCTTAGTTATTCAAACAGCTTGCTGGTCAGTTTGTAAAAAGAATTAAAAGGAAACCTACAGGTGCTTATGGACCCACTAAAGGGACTTTGTTTAAGAATACTGTGTGCTTTGGACAGGAAAACAGGCTTGTAGAGAGAAGGCACAGACTCTTTGGAGGAGGTTTTCATGTCCATTAACGTAGTCCTTAATCACTTGTGTCACAATCAATGTGTATCCGGAGTGCAGAAGGTGAGAAAACATTGCTTGAAATGTCAACCTGTCAAGCAGTAAATTCGGATATGTCAGTGTCCCTCGGCCAGGCAAAGGTCTGAATGTGGTATCAGCAGTGAGACAGGCAGAGGTGAGGACACTACAGTGCCAACATTAAATGAGAAGTAGTGCAGAGTAGGCAGAAGCGAGGTTTCTTCTGCTGTGTTGGGAGCCCTTCTTTGGCATCTCTGGTCCACTTAGAGGGCA